CTTTTGGATGACTAGTAATGAATTGGTGGATAATGTTGTCCAGACTCACGGTGTGCTGAACGTGGTGAGCTGGGGAATACTGATGCCGATTGGGGCCATGACGGCAAGGTACCTGAAGGTGTTCAAAGTGGGGAACCCAGCGTGGTTCTACCTCCACGTCACCTGCCAGGCCACTGCCTATGTAGTCGGGGTTGCCGGCTGGGCCACGGGACTCAAACTAGGCAGCGACTCCCCTGGAATCGAGCGCACAACCCACAGGAACATTGGAATCACCCTTTTCGTCCTGGGCACCCTTCAGGCGTTTGCCCTCCTCCTCAGGCCCAAGCCCGACCACAAGTACAGGATCTTCTGGAACATTTACCACCATTCCATCGGCTACTCCGTCATTGCCCTCAGCATCGCCAACATTTTCGAGGGATTCGACATCTTGGACCCTGAGAGGAAGTGGAGACGAGCCTACATTGGCGTGCTCATTGCCTTGGGAGCTATTGCCCTTTTCCTCGAACCACTCACCTGGTTTATCGTTATCAAGAGAAAGAGGGACTCTTCTAAGCACGCACCCAATGGGACCAATGGTTATATTGCCTAGCCAGCCACATACTTTTCATTTTCTTGTTTCTTTTTTGTCGATCTAGATGGGTTATTATAGTCGTCATTGATACTGTTCTTGATGTTACGATTACTTCTACTATCTTCATGATTTTTGTCCTAGGTGATGACGATTCATTTCCGAGTTGNGTTTGTCTATATAGTGACTGCACACTGTTAATTTTTTATAGCTGGCTATGGTTTTCATGTATACTCTGTTTCAATCTATGCATCTTGAGAATTCCTTAGTTTCCAGTTACTCTTTTACTGCTAATTAACACTCTCTTTCGAAATACAAATGACTAAATGGAAAAATTCGACAAGGATGGATTCTGTATAATACATCAAAATTCAAAACATATTATAGTTTCACCAGACTATTTACACATATTCTTCTTACACATAAATTGGAGTACAGTTCATCCGAAATATACATATTTTTTTCTCACCAAACGACTCGTCATGCACATAACCATGGAGGGGGCACCTAATAAATTAAAGTAAATTCTCTTGACAAGTATAAAATGCTAACATATATAGAAAGCCAGTTCCGATCAATGCTTTCTAAGCAGAGGACAGTGCACAAGCCGGAGGAAACAGATTTCCAGTCAGCTTTGGCTTCACATTGCTACACTCAGATGTGGCGCCACTCCCAGTTCCATTCTTGCCTTGGTACCTCAAATTAATGTTACTCAACTCCACATTTTTGCATGGGTATCCTTTGCTGCACTTAAGCTGGACTGCCATTTGGCTTGCTGATGTTCCACGTATATCTTTGAAGCTCACATCACTAATCTTAACGCGCGATGGCACCTTCATAAAACGATATACCTCCACATAAAACAAAAGACGAGGAGGGAAAGAAAAAAAAAAAAGAGTAATTCATTATATCATGGTTGATACCTGTGCTTTGCATTGATTGTAAGGGCAATACTCCTGATCGATCAAAACCGGGGTGGCAACGTTGTTCATGACAATATCCAGGAAATGCAAGTCACGAGCTATACCATCCGAAGGAGAAGCGGGCCAAGTCTTTACCCTGACTCCATTCATAGTATTTGTTATGGTGCAATTCCTCACCGTGATTCCAACCACGGGCTCTTCATTAGGATACTTTCCCAGGCTCCCAATGGCAATGCCGTGGCCTGGCCCGCAACTCACTTTCTCAATGTTCACTTGTTGGCTCCCATCACCCAGAGATACGCAGTCGTCACCAGTTTTGATGACGGCCTCACTAATGTTGACACCGTTTGAACGCCCGATGTGTATCCCGTCTGTGTTTAGGCTTTCTTCCGGTGCAATTATGTTGATGTGCTCTAGTGTTAGGTTTCTGCAGTTGAGCACATTCATGTGGAATAACTTGCTGTCCATGGATGTCACTTTTTGGATTCTCGAATTTGTGATTTTGTGGAAACTTAGATTCTGGTAGGCAGAGTAGGGAAAAGGATGTCAACATCTAAACTAAATTTTTCTTTCTTCTTTTTGTTGTTGAGAATAAATATAATAGAACAAGGAGAACACAATGTTGATGATAAAAGTTGAAAACCATACTACAGGCAATGATCCGCATTTTCCTGTTTTTGAACAGTCATTCTGCTTCCAGGCATTTTGTCCTTGACCATCAAATATTCCTCCTAAGAGGGTGAAGCCATTTATACTCTGGAAGGTGAACCAGCCGTTTTGTGATTTGAACTTGCTGACATCGGCAGGAGCCATGAAATGCACTCCGTCAGCTTGAATAGTGATAGGCGCTTGACAGGGACCCTGGATTTTTATTGGACCCACCATATAGGTTCCTTTTGGGATCAAAACTTTACTCGGACTGATGGATTTGCATGCCTCTTTCCAGGCATTTTCGAAGGCCTGACCACAAGAAAATCAAAGCTAGTTTGTTTCAAATCATGCATTGTATTTGGACCAGAAGCACAAGGGTACTGTATACATATGTATACAACTCTCACCATGCTATCATCCGACTTGCCATCAGCTTTGGCTCCATACTTGCGAACATCAAAATCGTTTGCTTGGTTTGTGACAACCATTAACATTAATAGTACCAAAATGTATATTCCTTTCATCCTTCTTTTTATTATGTACTACTTTCAATTTTCGATATTCCGAGTAATATATATCTAGTTAATAGCTTGTGAAATGATAGAAATACTGTATATATAGTAAAGGGAAAGCAAGCTTCAGACCACAAATCATACAAACTATTTTTGGATACAAAGTATCTTATGCACTTATCTGTTTTATCTACAAATAGAATATTGGCTAAAAATACAATCCTAATTTATCGCACAATCATTACCGCTAAGTAATTTCACCACACCTCAAGATATTGAAATATACTAAATTCAACTCCATCTTAACTATATAACTTTCTACACCATATACATCCGTTACCATAGATCAGTTTTCCATCAATGGTATTGTGCGATCTCAGGAATTCTTAGCAGAACACCAAAATGTCATTTGGTTCACAGAATTGAGAATAGTTGTTGGAATTTAGAATAGCTGATGGAAGACTGGTGATAAACATTTTCTAGCGCTCACACTAAAAATACAGAGACAGTCTCTAACTTGGATTGCTATAACCAAAAAAAAAGAAAAATTCCTATAAGGAACTTTTTTTTTTCAGGCGAACATGTGTTATTAGACTGTGGAGAGAACTCGAGGCCGGTTGAGAGTTCGTCAATAGATTACTAAAGCTTTAATCGTTTTGATATCTAAAATGATAATCAATATAAATATTGGTAACATATGTAACAACACACTAGAAAGAGTTTTTTCCTTAATGTTTCCAGTCTTCATGTTTTTGCTTGTCCATGTCATTAGAAACAAATATCTATATATTACTAAAAATATTCTGAATTTTGTACCAAAATAAAAAATATTCTGAATTAGAATTGTAGAATATTTAGTAAAATATTACTGAATGAGAATTTACTTTATAAATAGTCTAAAAAGTATTTTCCCTCTATTCTTTATTATTTTTCAGAAAGTTGTTCATTGCGTCAAATCTTATCAACAATTAATCATAAAAATATCAATGCACAATTTTCAAAACAACTAAATCTAAATTAGAATTGTTAATAAAGTTTTCAAATATGTGCGCGCACTGAATTAATTTTATGCACTATTTCTGTTATTATTTAGTGAATCAAAATAACTTTTTATTCATTATATCAAAATGATAATCTTTTTGTCAAAATGTTTATTACATAGATAAAGTTTATATTTATATATTACCATCAAGTTTAAAAATATAAAACAAATCATTTAGCATTTAAGACTACTATGTCATAACATATAAGTACATTTATGGACCTTACTATTATCATTAAAGATATACCAAACAATATACTTTTTATTTACAGATAATAAAATAATAAAATAAATAATAATAACAGTATAGAAAACGTACGTTGATGGCACAGTGCCCACTAAAAATGAGTGGGCGTCTCAGATTGTGCTTCCGGCTAACCATAACAACTACAGTAAACCTCATACAGCTGATACATTCCTTGATACATTCCTGATCATTTTTAACTGAACTCTTCTTACCAGGAAGTAAAAACTCAAGTGAGCGACATGTAACATATAGCTCAGGTGAGATTGGTCCACATGATCGAGGGTTGTTTGACCATGTTTGTGCACGACATCAGAGTAAAAACCGGTCATAGCACCTTTAGTACAAGTAGACGTCGTTTAGTTGGGCAGTTTCTAGTTTGGCATACATTCACCCGACAACAAAGTCTTAAAGAAAAAGTGCCTTCCACTAATCGTCCTACAAGAATGTAAATGGCATCTGAAACTATGTTGACATAATTTAAGCTCTATTAATCAGAATATCAATGGTTATGAATGATACAATGTGAAATGTGAATGTGATATGCAAGATAGTCACTCTTTCTCAAGACAAGAATTATAACTGCTTAATGAACAAACCTATCTTGCACACGTCATCTTTCTTATGTTGTGTCTGTGGTCACTTAAAATAGCCTTCACTCAGATTCTCCAAAACAGCTTTCTCACCAGTTAGGTGCTCAACCAGCCCTTCCAAAGAGGAAATAATAATCAGTTTCTATATATTATGCTAAAGAGAACCTCAAATAGTTTAATCATTATACCTTGACAATAATGCCGGCAATCATGATGACCAATCTTGAGGTTTGTTTCCCAACTCTCATTGAACTCCTGCGCTGCAATTATAGTGTTTCCTCGGGAGTAGCCAACAAACTGACATTTTCTCTTGGGAAGCTTTTCAAGCTTCCTCACAAGAATAACTCCTGCCATGTCAAAGTTTCAATCTTTACAGATAGGGACGCACTCTTCCAGCATCCATCAATATTGAAAAATAAATTCCCATTCGGCATCCATGGCTCCATGACAGTTGAGAGGCAGATATAATCGGGGCGAGAACAAAATACGAGAAACACAATTATAGAGGCAAATGACACAATAAGACACGACACATTGTGAAACAAGAGATCGTAGAAGACACGATTTTCCACCATTAATTCCACTAAATAACCAGTCCAACAGAAAAAGAAACAGAATCAGAAAGAGCTCAGGTGAAACACAGAGTCCACAGCACATAAATGAAAATATGATGCGTGGAAAAGGAGAAAATCAGAGGTTTAGGCTCACCAGGTACATCTCTACCAGTCAGTGCTGCAAAAGCGACCCATATGCTTTCAGGATCCTCCGGCTGAAAATCATACACCAAAACCTGCAAAACTAAACTGAATTTGAAAAGAAAACAGGCCGAAAAAAAAAAAAATGATAGGCGAAGAGGAATAACTAGCGACCTGAGGAGGAGGAGGAGGAGGATGAGAAGAGGGTTTGACGATGACGATGAAATGGTGCAAATTAAGGGAATATGAAGCAGACATAAGCAATTGGGAAGGCCCTTTAGTCGCCCTCAGTGCCACCGCTCCCACGTACACTTCATCTCTGCAACTCACTCGAACTCCGGCTGAAGACGATAAGGCCCCCAACATTTCCGATCACTTTCTTTTTTTGTTGGTCGGCAGGGCAGCAATCATAAGCTGCTTGTATAATAAAAAATTCCTTTTCTTTTTAAATCAACATCCATATTTTGGTTAGCTGTATTAAGTCATTTTTTTTTTATTTTTTTTTTTATTTTTAACTATATAGAAAAGTGCCAATCAGTATAAAAATGAATGGTCTTTAAAATTAAAAAAAAAAAAATTAAAATAAAATTTTCAAATATCGAATTTTTCCCTCATATGTATCTATTATTAAAATATCCTGTGCGCCGTAAAACCTCTGTTGCTGTTGGCGGAGGAAAAGGGTGAAGCATCCGGAAGGTTCTGGTACACGAGGCGTGCGCACGAAGGAAACCAGACTAAAACTGCGGACAATTCACAAATCTCTTCACATCAAATTCGAGACATCGGGATAGAGATTGGGGAAGATGGAGAGAGGAAGAGGCAGAGGAGGAATGGTTGGGCTGCTGTTGGTGCAGGCGCTTAGCGAATACTACCGCCTGGAGAGAAGGCCGCCCGTCACGGCGGGCCTTATTGCAGCTAATACTCTCATTTACTTGCGCCCCAAATTCTTGGACCCAATTCTCCCAACACTCAATCAAGTCTGGTTCAATCCCCATCTCATTCTCAAGGTAACCCAATTCTAATCGTAGTTGTATCATTCAATTCATTTAGCGCTTAATTAATTGATTTTGTAGTAGTTGCTGATTTCCTAAATAGGAAAATGAAGTGGATGCAAGTAATTAGGTTAGGTAGAATGAGCTGCTAGCTATATTCATGCGCTTGTACTGGAGATTTTTTTTTTTTTTTTTTTTTTTTTNATTTCTATCGAATTATAGTTGTGGTGCTTCACTATGCAGTTATCTTTGCTTTTGGATAACAGTAATGTATTGTGTAATCAATCTTGTTGAGCAGCACAAGGACCTAAAGCGATTCCTTTTATCGGCATTCTACCACATTGGTGAGCCCCACCTCGTGTACAACATGTTGTCATTGTTGTGGAAGGGAATACAGTTGGAGAGTGCAATGGGGAGCCTTGAGTACGCATCAATGGTTGCAGCTCTAGTGGGTATGTCTCAGGGGACCACTTTGTTACTGGCCAAAGGCCTGCTGCTCTTTGACCACAAAAAGGCGTACTACAACGAATATTCTGTGGGATTCTCAGGTGTTCTTTTTGCTATGAAAGTAGTACTCTATTCCCAGTCGGATGACTACACATACGTGCAAGGGCTTGTTGTCCCAGCACGTTATGCTGCCTGGGCAGAACTTATTCTAGTCCAAATGTTAGTGCCTGGCGTTTCGTTTCTTGGGCACCTTGGAGGAGTGCTTGCTGGGTTGTTGTACGTGTATCTAAAAGCTTCATATTCTGGCGCCAACCCTATTATGAAGATAGTGCGGTGTTTACTCGGTTGGCCTCCAAGATTTGTGCGCTGGATTTTAGGAGCTTCTGTTGGGAGGAGTAGTGAGAGCGGAAATGGCGTATGGAGGTGCAGAGTGTGTACTTACGATAATGGAGGATGGTTTAGTGCTTGTGAAATCTGCGGTACGAGTCGCGATGGCGGTGGATTGTCATCTTCTGATGATGATACTGAAACTATTTCCTTGGAAGAACTAAGAGAAAGGAGGATTTGGAGATTCAGGCGATGATGTGGAAATATTGTTCGGAATAATGTGGACTGTGCAGGAGCTGCTATTATAGTAATATATGATTTTCTTTTTTCTTTTTGGAATTGGAGACTTTTGAAGTGCATTGTGTTTCTCTATGTATGTATCCTATCATCTTCTCTTATTGCAGAAATATTATGTAATGAGGGTTCATCAATATATATATATACTATAAGTCAGGCAAGCCAAAGTCAGAATGTGAGGTTGGAGATCTTGGTTTTGTGGGAACCCACGTCGCCACCATATGCACCAATGTACAGCCTACTCTTACAGGCAAAACCAATAATCCATTTATCTTTTTAAAATTTTGCTTTTGTTTTTCTGTGGAAGTTAATGTACTTTTAAAGCATCTATTATTCTATATCTGTATATAAAAAGGATTGATTATGTATATAAAAAGGATTGATTATTTTTAAATAGTAACTATTTTTCTAAAAAAAAAACTCTTTACTATTTTGAGAAATTAATTTAACAATTTATCGTATATTTCAAATGATCACTTTAGAAATTGCGGCTTATTATTTAAAGAAATAAATAAATCATAATACACAATGATTACGGTAAGAATTATTAAAATTCAAAATTATATTAGGAACTATTAAAACCTGAGATTTTAGGCACACATTGGTTATATTAATGACTATCTAATTGATTAGATTAGCATTTATTTAAGGCTAAGATCCATTTAACACATTACTGATATAGTTGAAAAGATTTAGAAATTATTTGTTGACAAAAATAATAAAATCACAAAAATCAAATTTATCTGATTTACCAAAATTTGTTTGTATGCTACAATCACTAGAAATTATTAAAATCGGAGACAACACATATAGTACATTCGTGATTATTCACATAAATTTTTAAATATATAATAAGATTTTACCAAATTAATTATTTTATGGAACGTTGTATTCAAGTAGAATTTCAAAATAAAAATTTAAAATGACACATATTTTGAAATATATGAAATTTATTATCAGTTATGTGCACCGTACGGATTGTATACTAATTTTAAATAGACATGTTTTATGCAACAACAACAACAACAACAACAATATAGTCTTTTAGTCCCAAGCAAGTTGGAGACATATTTTATGCAATTTTGCACAATTTAAATTTCATATAATATTTCAAATAAATTAATATAGGTAAATTATATTACATATTGGTTCTATATTTTAATTTATAGATATTTTTTAATGATCATTTAATTTACAAATATTAATAAATATTTCTTACACATGCATCGCACGGGATTCGTACTAGTTGAGTTAGAATATACTCAGATATTAATGTACATATCTATACAACAAAGTATACATACAGTATTGATCACTTTCAAGTTTCAATTCATCCTTGTCAAATGAGGTGTGCACAATGCAGTTCAGTTCTCAATAGTTTCAATACTGATTTTTTTTGTTTT